GACTTCTGGTAGTACCGATTCGCGTTGTGGCTGGAAAAGAAGACAGCATTGAATACGGCAGAAGTTGCCTCAGCAGATTGTCCGGAAAAATCACACGATCCTCTTGACTAGAGTGACGGCGGGCGTACTTGAAGAAGGAATCGCGCAACCTCGAATTGAGATGCAGACCAGTCCATCAGTAGACGATATCATACAAAAAGATGAGTGTTGGTAAGAATTTTACTCTGTGGTACGGGGAGGCCCGAATAGGAGGCGGAAGGAGGGGTCACTAAAAGGATTGGGACCCGGCGGTGGCCCGTTGCTCTCCTCGCCCATCATCCTGACAAACTCAATCTCCAACGCCCCCGCTGAAAGAGATCTTAAGAACGCCAGAGGACCTTTGCTTCGCGTCACTCCGTCTTCCAGTGCCCGCTCAAAGAAACGACGCGCAGATTCGTAGTCTAGAAAGCGGATCAACCCAAGAAATGATCTCTCTTGAGCACCTTGCCACCCATACCCGCTCGGGTTCACCGACCAACCCGCCACCCTTCCGCCAGCTATCCACCCTCCCTCACTCCTCGTTACCTTGCCGCAGAGAGAATTCCACATTTGCTCCAAGAGGGCCCACCTCGGGCATGGGGTTGACCCCATCCCATCGGAATCTATTGCCGAAATCTCGAAGGCGGGCGAGAAAGACAACGAGAGGGATACGGAAATCGAGTCCTTGAAGCTAGATCGCTCAGGGAGCGATAGGATACCCCGACGGCTTGGCGCATGGGACGACAGGGCGAAAAGCGATGGGTCGCTTGACTGAGAAGTCAAGGAGCTCATCTGCCATTTGGTCTGGAGTGTAAGAAAGTCGGGGGAAGCCAGGAACTGTTGGCGGTCTTCAATAGTTTTCCAGTCTAATGGGAGTGTGGTCAGTACGAGAAAGGCGAAGCCGATACGAGGAACCTCAGCAAACCGATGATTAGCTTAATTGCTTGAGGCGAGTCTACTCGACGACCCCACCGCACTGTCCTGGCGCCGTGAACGAGGTATGCTTGAACCGTAATCGCCCATAGCTGACCCACCGGCGTCGCGTCTCGATTCAGGTCGACCGAGTAAGCGAATCTGATGGTGATGATCTCTGTACAGGCGTAATCGCGCGACTGCCTTGGCAGACCGCTTGGCACGGTGCTCTCATCGAAAGGATTTGACATAATGTGGCGCTGGAAAGGCAGCTACTGTAAATGTCGGACCGTCAAGGTACGAAGTAGTAGGGTCTAGCCCGTCTGAAGCGTGACCTTTGCAGTCACTCGAACAAAATCACAGTCTTTTGGTAAGCCAACACTTCCTTCAAAGCTTTGCTATATATCGCTATCACCAAGGTACATTATGACTCGATCAGCTGGCACGGCTTCAGTCCGCACTAGCTGATTTCTTTTACTTAACAGATCCAAGTTCCCCTTCAGGGATGTGGAGCTGGGAGTTGAATATTCCGAATTGTCCATGGCTCATTCTGCTTCAACCAGACGTACTCAGACGCGAAACTCACGGCCTTCCCCGTGCGCCAAATGTACTCGTCCATTGACAGAGCCATTGTGAAATACACCAGACTATCAGGGTTCTGGGGTGCATAGGTAGATCGAACTTCCTGTGTGCCAGCCCATCCATACCGTTCTCCCCCTGGAGCATTGCCACCGGCCTGGTCAGCGATCACTGATGTCTCATCAGCAATGACTTGAAAATGGACCTCGATCATCGGAGGAGACAGAAATCATGGGTTAGCTAACATAGCCGGAAGCCCAAGGACAATGGATGTAGCCGACATTTTTCCCTACTGGTCTGGGAGGGCCCCCGCGAATATGTTGGACCCTTGCTCTGGTGTTCTTTTTCTTTTCCTTTTCCGCCCCTCCAGGTCTTTGAGTCCTTGTCACAAGCTAATAGCTGCCTATGGAGTGTGACAGTCCTATTTTTACCACAAATGAGCCGGGAGCCCTCCAGTAAATATGCCGACTATCTCCAATGACCTGCGATTTCTGTCACTCCCGCTGGATTTTCCGACTTACTCTTGTCCCAGAGTTTCACGTGAATCATCTCGTGGAACAATGTCGTGGAAAGTGTTTCCTTGCTGGTACAGGTCGTCACCCTCATTATACACCAATTGGTCGAACGTATCATGCCGAGGTCTATTTTGCGGACATAAGATAACGTACGCAACTCTCTCGCTTGGGTTAGGACTGCGTTGTACGTAGGCCGTCAGCTATTTTGTCTCTCCATTGATGGTTTTACCTTCCGCACACATCAATGGTGGGTTCGACAAGTAAGTTGACGTTCTCCGGTATGGGTCTAACAAGTATTTCTTCCCCGTTGGATCAATTTTGAAAAGGGTCGTATCGTCGCATGAGATCCAGACGTCAGGCATATCCGAAGGAATGTTCTCGAGAATGGTCAGATTGTCTGCCACAGTTTTCCACCGTTCTTGGGCGTTAGGATGCTGTCCATCAAAAAATGCGTCAAATGCTGTCATGGTCCGATAGTAGTCCCTTGGTTGATAATGCTGGTTCACTTGCACGTTGTTCATGAGATTTCTGGTGTATCCGGCCAATTTGATAATATCCGATACCATGGCTGTGCCAATGCGTTGCGTGTCTGCAGGAGAGCCGCAACTATAGTACACATCATCGATCCGTATCATGCCGGCGTGTGCCAAAAGAAGGCTACAAAGTAGGAGTCTAATGCACTGTGCAAGCTTGGACAGACTCATGGCGGTGATCGATGAATGGCTCTTACTGATCTGATCTGGAACGAAGAAACTGAGCTCCACGAACATATCACATGCGTCGTAGTATGTATCAGGATCCTGCGCCGCGTCCCCAGATATCGAAAGTTAGCCATCGCAGCTCATTCCCTCTATTGGCTTCAGGATTCCCTGCAATGCTTCGCCCGATGGAACAAAACAAGTAACCGGGTGATGAATAAGCCTCACCCATACACTACCAATTTCCGGCCTAATTACAGATCAAGATCTGGTTGTGACTTTCCCAGGCTGTATGAAGGTGAAATAGGACAGGGCCAGAAGTCTTCTACTAATACTTGTTGATGTTTCATCATTCCGAAATAAATACTCCTCATGGAACACTAGACCAGATCCTAATCAAATTATCGGCCGCTTCATTGAGACCGATATTTCTCATACCACCCCCTGGTGATATTCATGGTAGGGGCTCATCCGTGCCACAGCACTGTGGAACACATTGATCGAACAACTTGACACCTACGCTCCATATGGGCTGGTAACATGCAGACTTATTCTGTGATGTCGCAGAAAGCTCCTGTTCTACCCGATTCAGTTGCTCCTATCTCCGTGGAAACCCGTTCTGAAGAGATGTGCCATCGCTTCCTTGCTTGAGACAGATCAATAGAAAGAGCTATCCGTTCCTCTCTGCGCCGCGTAGTTGAGGAGACCCTCGATCAATACACGTCCAGTACTGTTGTCGTTAGTCTCACTGCAGCAGCTGGAAAGACCTCTTCGTCATGGATAATTTTTTGCTACTTCTACCTATTCTCTGGTCTTTCACGGACTCACGGGTGCTGAGTACCTCGAGCACCGTTTCAAACTTTACAGGCTCGTATGCCAATTTGAGCTCCGCAAAAAGCTGGAATTTGACGTCCAACGTGTCGATTCCGAGTTTCACGACGCGCTCGATTCATGGACTGACTGCCAGTACTCGTCTCGATGCGGTATCATCCTCTTGGATGAGCTCTAGTGTTAGTCCGATATCCAATCTCCGTCTTGGGATAGCTGCTGGCATGACCTTGGACTATCCATCAAACTCCAGCGGTAGCTCAATGAGCTCTTTCCCCAACTTCTCAGCTCACAATCAGTGCACCCACGACGTTGAGCTCATCATAAAATTCGTCCCTGATCCGGCCAGCTTTAGGTCCCGTCACAGATTTCACTGCCGGCTTCAGCACTGCAACTATTTCCGTGGGCTCTTCACTACTTTCGTCCTCAAATCTTGCAGAATCATCAACGTCCGGTATTCCCTCTACAGTACAGATATATTTAACGACGGTAAAAGACGAAACAACTCGAATCACGGTCATGGCTGGTAGTAGTACTCCTCCTCCTATGCCTCTCACTCCGTCGATTACCATTGCTCGTACAGGCGCTGCGGCGAGTTCTTCTAAATCTGCAATCCAGGCTCAACCTACCGGCGATGTGTTTCCGCTCGTGGAAGGCTGGATCGATAACCCTAGAAAGGATACCGATTCTATTATCAAACGTCTCGACGGTGCAGAGGACTCGATTCAGAAAGCTCTGTCCGACACGTCGGGTGGCTCTGGTCAGGATAGGAAAAGGGGCTGCAGGCATTCCTTTTTGTCCCTGTTGTCTTGTATTGTTAGCAAGTTGGCGACCGTGCGGGGAACAATCGCTGGCATCCGGGGTACTATTGCGGACAACATTGTGAGCATGGTCAGGAGGGACTTATCCGATCTCAAGGGCCTCACCACCGAGCTGGAAAGCATTGAGGATGATCAAGTGAGCTCTTCAAGCTCATTGAGCTTTAGCTCTACGGATTTGTCCCGTCCAAGCTCATCCACTTCCGGTCCTTCAGGTTCGTCCAGCTCAATCTCATCATGCACGAAAACCACAGCCACCGATGACGCATACATAACCTGCGCATCGTCTTTGGTCACAAGTGGGCTCTTCACGTCCGTAACACAAGTTTGCGAGACTGGGATCTCGACAGTATATGGCTGCACGGTCTCTGCCTTTGCAACCACAGCCACTCTGACGTCCTCGGAGAGCGCTGTCATAGCGTCGGCGGCATTAGACTGGCACGGTAATGACACTGACTCAGAGGTAAATTTGATGATTCCTTCGGTCCGGTCATATCAAGCTGCGGCCAATGGTTGTCTGTCGACCTTCATTCTTCCGTTCCCTACGGAATGCTCTGGTAGTGCAACTTCGACCAATGAGAGCACCGGCAAGCCCAAGCCTACCACATTATCAGGGTTAAACAGTACGAATATTATGCAGCCTTGGCAAGCTCCAGCGACGCCATCTCCACATCGACTCTATCGCCTTCGACAACCTCTACACCTTTGGTAACCTCTACGCCTTCAACGACCTCTACACCGTCAACAACCTCTGCACCTTCGACAAGTTCTACCCCTTCAACAACCTCTACACCCTTGACAACCTTTACACCTTCTTTCGGCATCAACAACTCAGATTTGAGAGACTTGTCAACCCCGAGCAGTACGGGATCCATATTCGCAGACAGCTCCGATAACGACATTGCGTTATCGACTCTATCATCGCTAGTAGCCTCTTCATCCTCTCTTTTCCTCACTAGCAATTGGGACTTTACCACAGATTCAGGACCGACTATATTTAGATCGAAATTTCCAATGACCACTGATACTGATATCTTTTCGTCGACGTTGCTAATCCCGACAAACTTTGCGCCGACTTCGCTCAGTACTATTAATCCAGGTTCCACCACTTCACCAAGACCGAGCAGTTCAAATTCTATAGGTGCTGTAAGCTCTAACAACAACGTCTCGTTGCCACGTTCAACCACCCCAACGACTTCTGCATTCTCTTTACTCAGCATCGGCTTAAATCCACCTAGCCCTCCTGTCTCCTGCGCCACGAGGATTGCAACTGCTGTGATACTGGACATGATGGACCCCCAAGAAATCACGTACTGCACCTGCAACGACGGCCAGACAGCCGCGGTCGGTAGCACGATTGGCGGTGATAGCTCAACTACCTACATAAGTAGCGTCGCCTCGACTCTTTGGACTGTCAGCACCGCAGCACCTGTCATACTACCAACGAGAGCGACACCGACGGTGACAATTCCAGCGACGAGTGAAACGCCATCATCCACCACGCCACAGCCCACCCCGCAGGAAAGTTGTCACACACAATACGCAGCATTATTCGATAGCTTCAGTATCTATGGGCATGACTGGGATACTGAAAGGCTGGACGCCGGTGGCCCCCCTGGTAGCGGTGCTGGCCTTCTCCAGCAACTTCGTGGATGCTCGAAAATTACGATGTGGAAATTCGAGAACCTCACACCGGATTCGAACTCACCGTGGCAGTTCCATGCTTCGGGAAGGACGACGATTTGGCAGAAGCGCTGCATTGAGCATGCTATGATTTCGGCAGGGTCGCCATCGGATGTGTGCAATGGGCATGGCTGACAGCCGGTGTGGCGTCTGGGTAAGTGTTCTAGGGCCCTGTGTAGAGACCAGATATTGTGTGAGATATCTCACACAATAGCTGTACCCGAGCAAAGAATAGAAGTCTTGTGAGGTAGCCTATCTGGCTTCGATTAAGTGTTGTAAAAAATGTATTCTCTCAAACTTCTTGGGTGCCCAAGCTTGTCAAATCAATGTAAGGAACAGGCAATCCCTAGTACAATTGCTTGAACTCGATTGCTACTATTCGAGCTGTCTCGAGCCGTCATGAAGCCGTTTAAGAACATATTCACGATCTCCTGTTGACTGGCTACATCACTGTTCTTGACGCCGGCAGAACTTGTACCTCGACTACACACATCATCATTTTCAATCATCACCAAAATTTTAAAACATTACGAAGTGAAAATTCAAGCAATTCAGAATTAATTAGATGCACTGCCAAAATCTCTAGAGGGGAGAGTCTTGATGAAGCTGGACAATCTTGGATGCTCGAAAATGTGCCATCCCTAGCCGCCCGTCCTTGTCCCGTTATCTCACGTTGCTTAAGAGGTGGCAATAACATTGTATGTGCCCGCTGGTTCGTCATCATCTTGAGTCGGCGTGCAGACCTCTCCATGATACGTCCCATCCTTGCACTCAATATTGCCGGTAGAGCACGTCAGAGTGGCCGTCCATCCCACGTTTCCGCTCTGACCGGCAGGAACGTTGAAGGTATATGCTTTGGAAGTGCTGACCTCCTGTGTCATCGAAAACTCCATATTGGCCGAGAAGACGTCAAAGCTGAGTCCCGCTGAGATTGATGTAGTCCACGATTGGCTTCGCTCATGCGTAATCTGCACGGAGGAGCCTCCCGTTCCGCCATTGACGCCCGTCGCGACAATCGATGTGTTGTCACTCGGACGAGTATACTGCTCCATTCCTGAGTCTGCAGTCCACTTTGAGCAGCTGTCACGTTTGATGAGGCCATTGAAACTCTGATGAAGATCCGAGGCCCGTTTTGATGGTTGCGAAGGCATTTCTCCCACCTGAACGGGCTGAATGACTGAGCCGTTGGGAGAAGTGAATTTCATGCCTGAGATGCCGGGAGTCGAACGGTCTTGTAGAGCTCCGAGCCACCACCTCTTCGAACCTGACCCAGCGGATGTGCAGTCTCCAGTGCCGCAACAGTACTGAACCATAAAGGTGTCTTTGACGTCAAGTAAGCTACAAGTCGCATGCTTGTACGCTCCGATTGTAGATCCACAACCAGTGACGTCCGTATTCGCCGGAGACTTGATAATGGTAGAGCATCCGGATTCCGGTTCAGCAATGTCAAAATAGACCGCGTAACCACTATCAAGCTGTCAGAGACTGAGAGAAGATAAGTTGTGGGGACGTCAAAGCATACCCTCCCTGTGCTGGTTTGAAGCTTCCTGATGAAAACACGTCTTGCGAATTGTAGACTACGCACGACGGATACCCGTTCCCACCCTCGGTAACTCCGGATGGACAATTGGAACATTCGCCATCAGTGCATACTTTGGCGGGAGGATTCTGAGCGTATGCGATGTGAGAAAGCACGAATACGCCAAGAGCTGCTAAGCTGGATGTGTGACAGTTGACCATTTTCAGTGGCTTCAAAGATGAAGATAAGACAATAGAAGTACAGAACGTCGCGGTTCAATGATATTATTCTCTTTGTGCACAATCTAACGAGCCTGCGCTAGATAGTAGTATTGGAAGGAAAAATGGAGAAGATGCTGATAATGATCGAGCCGAACCAGGTCTTACGGTATGCTTATATACTTGGAAAGCTCGTTCAATGAAGGCTGTTAGCATTGAGAATCGGCTGTAGGAGCATCATCACTCAGCGAACTTCCTAGTAAGCCTGATCATCTTCGTTCATCCCAGAGAGCAGAGCTGTCCCTTCCACTCCGGCTGTATGGCAGTGATGTGCTTCCAGGCAGGACGATAGGCAATGAGGATGCAATCTGTCCGTGCATATTAGAAAGCGAATCTCGGATGGAATTGCAACGTCGATCAACTGAGGCCATAAAGTCGACCGAGAAGGGGCGTTGCTGGAGCTCAAATGCGTATGCTCATGAACAATTGTCGTGGTGGCGTCGAAGATCTCTGAATGCTTTGTTCCATATCCGTTCCTGCAACACTTAGATGAGGACTGCATTGATGCTCTAAGAGGATCCCGGAATGCAATCGGGCACTTGTCATTCCACATAAGCCTATTTCATAGCATGCAGTTGGATACGAACGTGCGTAAAACGTATCATGCAGTTTGTGCGTTTAGAACGCTAAACCAACCACGCATAAGAGGCTCAGCGGCAAAGTCTTGTAGATCACAATCGAGTGGGTATCATGCTGTGTTTCGCCTCGGCCATCCATCCGACGATAGATTGCGCATCAATATCTGTCCATCCTGAGAGACGGATTTCAAGAACGCTAGTTTTCAGCCTTTTTCATCAAGACTTCTGACAGAGCCGAAATCGGGAGGTCAGACACTACGTAGCGGGACTGATGGTAAGTGTATGCCGGTCCGGCCCATATCATCTCGGATTACGCGAGAGGCTAGAAATTTCGTGAAAGTTCAAGAGATGAACACCTACACTGGTAGGGCATGAAGAGGTCCGTGGTACGATAGAGTACTCTAGCGCCGCGTCATGCCAATCAGCAAGCCGAAATAATTCTGTGACGACATTAGAAATCGATGGCTCGGTGGATGTTTTCTGAGTAAAGGCTTGAAGATTGAGGCAGATCGTGACAGATAGAAGGAAGAGAAAGAATCTAAAAAGACGCGATGGATAGATTGGGTCGGGTTGACCGTGTTGGTCGCCACTTGGCAAGTCGCGAGTTGGACCTTGCGGCACCGGGACCCAACGCTCCTTGTTCCCTTCCTGTTCCTCCCCTATAAGCATAGAACGTGGCAATGGCTATTGCTTCGCATGCGTAACCCGATATAGTTACGCTCTCAATTCGGAGCTCGCATATCGAACGCTTCAGACCTCCATAAGGAAGGCTGATCCGTGCAGCCCAGATGCGAGATTCCCAGAGTGACGTGCGGATGTTAAAGCTCGTTTTAGCTACATTCAGAAGAGGATGCATTACAGCGATTCCCTCCTCAGGCGGAGACATCATCAGTGCTTGAAATGTATATAAAAGCAGTAATACGTCTAAGGTCTGGGAATTCTTCATTACATTCTCCTCATCTGCTTCCAGTCGCGCCTTGGTCTCCACCACCTACATATACATATTAATTTATCATCTTAAAAATGCAACTTAGTTACCTTTCGATTGCTCTTGTTCCATTGTTTGCGCAGATGGTCCCCGCTTGGTGAGTCGCTACTCTCTCTCTCGCTTTCAAGCTTTCCTCCTGGGCCTTGCTGCATCTGTGATGATCTCTTTCAGGGTGCTAACGATCTCAGGACCGTCTACTTCTTCAAGGATGGATGTGGCGATTTTGATCCAACCAATACGACCGCCACTACTGGCGTTGACGAACTCACAGCCGACGGCACAGAGGGCTGCGAAAATGCACCAACTTCGAATTACCACAGTGTCTACGTAGACGGCATTGCCAGCGCAAACATGAATCTTGAGCTATTCAACGATGATTCCTGCACGAATGCATTGAACAATATCGATCCCTCGTCAGTCATCAAACAGGATGGTTGCTACACTGCACCCATTTCGGTAAGGCACCCAATACTATAAGCCAAGAATTGCAAATTGCTGACAAGATTCAACAGGACGTGATTGCCGCTATCGCGGTCAATAAGAACTAGGCTCTTATATGTTGATTGGATTTTAGTTGGGTTTGGAGAAAATCGCCAGACGTCCTACGGACAAGTTAAGCTGGACTTAATCTTGTTCCGTATCATTCAAGTAATTAATCGATCATTGACTGTTTCTAATAGCTTCCCACTGAGAAAGGTTGTTGTAGCGGAAAATTTACTCTAAGGTTAAATCCGTCTCTTGTTAGATATACCTCTCCCAAACAACAGCATCCTGGAGAAAGTTAGGTACACGCCGAAGCCTTTTCCATGATTTCGTAAGCTTGATCACCGTTTCCTGAGAGTGACTTCTTTCGACAGTGGTAATGCTGAAGAGATGATTTAAATCTGATAGCCCGACAGATGCATATACGGTCAATTCAGGACTAACATTCTCCCTTAGCATGCCAATAACATTTAGGGTTGCTCTTGAGATCTTCTTATCAAAACTCTAGAGAAGGCTTTGAGGAAAAATTCTAACACACTCTGAGAGTAGGCGTGAGCGTGGGGAAGATGGGTAAGAAGGAAATTAATAAAGAGGATGCAAAGTAATGCCTTAGGATCAGATGATCTGGACTATTAGCTGAAGTTCTACTACAGACCTACTCCGCTACTCCATAGACCGAGCTACGCTACCTGGCCATTATCGTACGGGTAGAGACCACCCTGAACCTTTGCAAGGATCAGCTCGCTCACATATTTTTTCTTGCTCAAGGCGCAGCACGACGAGAAAGCCAGAATCACGGAAGAAGACGATCTAAGTTTCCATGAAGCTCAGCTGAAGTGCTGGTGGCGCTCGGACGTGTGAGAAAGTGAAATATTCTTCCGCCGCTTCCCGCACCTCCAGCTTCTCGAACTTTGCTCTACCTGCTTCCATTGTTCTTTTCCCGGAGCCTCAGGCATAATGCTGGCGAAGTTACAATGGTAACATCCAGGATTGTTCGGATTGCAATATATACAAATCCCGACCGGATCATTGTTTAATCTTGGCTTTTGCTGCTTGCCTTTCGGCTCATGTTGGCTCCTATCTCCGTGCTCGGCTATACTTGATAATCGTTACTCTGTACGTACCGAGATTAAAGCTAGCGTACTTCAGAAAAAAGTTTAAATCAGATGCGTGCAAGATGTGCAATCACATGCATGCATGTTTACAATTTTCCCATTCATCTGCAGTTCATATGTCCGACACCTGCTCTCCCAGTTTCTACGCACCTGGGCCACTACGACGCGTGGGCAGCCTGACGTGAAGAGATAGTTAATAATATCACGGTTGCGACATGGACGCTAGTCAATAGTTTCGCTGAATTCAATCAATCGGTGCGCGTACACTAGTATACGAATTGCCTTCTATCCTGGATGTGTGGAGTTGAGAGATTGTTACGGTTGATATCTCTTTCAAAGTGTGCGCCCGCGAGCTCATCGTTTACTATCTTTGACGAGTGGTGGACACCTTTGTCCAGTAGGAAAACATGCTGCGCGCTTCCATTAAACCAACTGCTGGGCATTTTAAACAGACTAAAGGAGCTGCAGCCGAAGTATTAGAAGTCCCTACTGTGATCAAGGGAGCTTGTCCCTCGCAACGCTTGATAAGTTTGAT